AACGCGATTTGAAAAAAATATAACAGACAACAAAATTTAGTAAATTTATTGCTTCCAGAAAATATGTTGCATACTCTCTATTATAAAATAACATCCATTAAATTAACCTTACCCACAGCGCTACATGAATTTTAATACGAACATTGCAATATTGTAAGTATTAATTAGGTTCTTATATTCAGAATCAGATGCTGAAAGCCGTTTGGCAAAAAATTAAAAACATAACAAGGAAAAACAAAGGATCAATCTTGTTTAACATTAAGTTGTCCATACCAGATGAAAAAATAAGTTAATATAAACTTCTATGTATCCCCGATTAATAATGAAGTTAATACATTTGAAAGAGAGGAAGAAGCTATTAAATAGATCACCATATCCTTTAAAAAAAATTTCGCTATCTTATTAATAAAAATGCGTCCACACAATACACATATATACGCAGTAATTATTCTACACTCATAATATATCATTACACTCATTTAAAAAAAAATACAATATCTAAGCATATTTTATTAAGAAATTTGTAATTATATAATTTCGATATAATAAGATATTATTTTTACAAATTCTATATAATAATGGATTTTTTGTATAAAAGGAATATATTATTATAAATATCATTCAAATTTTAGTATTAAAATATCTGAATATAATTAATTCACCAACTTATACGAATTCTTAACTTCGGATAATTTTGTCAGATTACGTTTTAAAATTAATATTTTATTGTTGTAATATGTAGTTTGAATTTTCATATCCACTCAAAAACTTTGTATTGTAAAGCTTACCTTTTCGTCTTCCGTAAAATATTGTTATATCCATCTTCTGTTAATTATTTATTAATTCCATGAGCACGACTTAAATGGCATTTTGCATCTGGTAAATTGGCACAAATTTTACGACAGATAACGCATTTTATCCCATTTGGTGTTTTAGTAAAATAGTTCCGTATCCAATCTAGTTGTCCTGGCATTGTGTGATCACACAGTACCTTACAGAGCAGTAGAACATATATTACTGAATATAACATAAAGTATAAGCTTGAAGATATTTTCGCGGAAGGTCGAAGAATAATGCGTAAATATAAATATTGATATCTAATTTGAATTTGGCTCTAACAGCCAAATAATATCGCTGTACATTTATAGTATAAGTCCAGATAGCATAGAAAGTTCAAAAAGAATTGTCATATGTCCATCACCAATTCTGAGTTAAGTTTTAGATGCAAAAAGAATTGCTTTTGCATCTGAGAATGAACTCAGAATTGATGACATCCCTGCTGAAAATTTTTCTTAGAATTTTTCATACAATTTTTCAGAATTTCTATATAATTTTATAACTTTCTTATATTTTTTATAAGAATTGGAACACTTCTCAGAAAATCTACATCTTTTCTCAGAATTTTTCATGTATTAATTATGAAATATCGTAAGATTTCTAAGATTTTTTTAAGTATAATTTCTGATAAAATGTTATAAAACCTAAAAAAATTAAAAATATATTTTAAAAATTATGAGATGAGAAATCTCAAAATATTTTAGAATTCACATGTATGAAAAATTCTAAGAGAAAAAAAAAGATGTAAACTTTCCGAATATTTCTAAGTATTTCTGAAAAATGTTCCAATGATCGTATAAAAATTATAAGAAAAATTTTCACTAGGGATATGACTAAATTCTTTTTGAACTCTCTATGCTATCTGTAAAACGGTTTCGACACTAACATATTTGCTTGCTTTTAAAAATTATAAATCTTACAATTAATGAAATATTCCATACAACTAAAAGATAATCTTTTATGACTCATTAGGCCTAAAAGTTTCTTATTTTCCATCGAGAAACCGGAGCGCCATCCCCGTCTATTGATCGGTCACTGACTGGTCACTGACTCTGCTCAATATGGCGGCGAGGGTGGTATTCGCGCTCAGCCTAATTCTCGTCGTCGGACATCTCCAGGAAGGACCAGGATCCCTCGCAAAGACCTTCACATTCCCGGAATATCCGTATAAGGAGACCACCAAGAACGTAAGTTGTCCATATAGTTTATCAAAGTCCTCACTGTGAATGATACGTGGTTAACGCTGATACAGGGAGGTTATGAGGAGCAACCCTCATTTAGGGCAATTTTACGGTATTAGGGACATAGCGTCAACGATAAGCCGACTTGGTACACCAATTTTCGAGTTAAACAGTTAAGAACGTAGGCTCTCGAATTCGTCTTTATACGTGGATTATTAATTGGTTATAAAAATATTTTCGATCTAACTAGTATATATAAAAAGTAAATTATACATATACCCCTATTGGAATTCGAAATAATATGAAAACTGTTATATCTTCGTCTGTAAAAAAAATTTGTAATTTAGAAACATAATGAGAAATATTCGGTAACATTTACGACCAAGAAAATAAAATCGGAACGAGACAGAAAATAATTACAGAAAATAATTTTGCTGGACTATCAAAATAATTATGTAGGAAATCCAAACATGAGCAATGCTGCAAAAAATTTTGACATTTTAGACATTTTTTGACAACCAGCTTATATATATAATATAATTATTTTAATTCTGCATAATTATTTTGATAGTCGAACAAAATTATTTTCTGTAAATTTTTAATTTTTAAAACATTTTTCGTAATGCTGTACCTATATCGTAAAAAAATGCGTTAGAAATGTTATACATATAGTTAATAATTCGCTCGCGTGACATTTAACAAGGGAAAACTTTAGAAAATTTTATTTAAAACATTCTTGTCTGTCTCTGTCTCTCTCTCTCTCTCTCTCTCTCTCTCTCTCTCTCTCTCTTCTCTTTTAATTTTACGGATAATCTATTGCTAGCATCTTAAATGCATACCAGAAATGTATCTCTCACAATCGTATCTTCTAGAAAAAAAAATAAAAGAACGTTACATTTATTTTTCTATATTACATTCTCGACAAATATTCTCTTTCAAAAATATTTCGCTGTAATGTTTTTATTCGCGCGGAGAGATACAGACGCGGAGTTATTCGCGAAGGAAATTAAAGACGTACAAACGTACCATGCTGAAAGTCGCATTGGCCCTAATTGGGGTTAATCTTTCGATAGACACAAATCAATTGTTGCATTCCGCTTTATCCCGCCGCGACGCGGAGTGCAAAGCATTATTTTATTGACATCACAAACAGAAAATTTTTCTCGCATACAAAAATAAACATTAATATTCACATTTTCGAATTTAACCGCAAAATCCATTTGCAACGTTTTATGCGGAATAATCAAAGCATATACAATTAATTTCAGCGAAATATGCAAAAGGGACAATTTGAAAGCGATTTATTTTCAGTATTGTTATTAAAACCTTTTTTGTATTTAAACTTTTATAACGATTAAGAGGTAAAATGTATTAGTCAAATCAATATTGTTACAACAATCGATTCTGCCGCAGGAGCTTCTCTTCAGACAATTCGAGCAAGCTTGCGAGGAGAGCGGCGCTTGCAAGATGCTATCGCAGCATAGGAGCGACAGCGTCGCCAAAACACGATGCATTCGGGAATGCGTATCGCCATCCTGTTACAAGGAGATCTATTTATTTGATCAGGTACTGGTATATGTGGAATACCAATTCCGTTAATTGCGTTTGGTTACCATGTCGCTTTACGTGCTACACATCTAGTACGTATCCGGTATACAATTTCACTCATGCGGACTGCACGGTAACGAACGATGAACACATTTCAGTTGGAGGAGGGCGAGATTGACGTGAGATTAAATTCCTTCAAAGGTTGCTTCATGCAGCGAAACGGTCGCCCACGGAAGTAAGGAAGAACGCCCACGGGAAGAAACGCAGGAAGAACAGATTTCTAATCGCGAGATGAACGATTAACGGACGAGCCGCCCTTTGGGAGAGACTGCAATTGTGCAACAAAGAACACGCGCTGCGATAATAGTCCGCCGTTCTAACAGAAATGCTTCTTGCTTAGATTTCGCTATCCTGCAAAGATTAAATTGATAATGTAATATAACTGCTGCATGATATGCATGATGGAAAAGCACAAAAATAAAACGGAAACAGAAACGCATATCATGCACAAAGATAAGTTAAACAATGCATATCGTGCAGCTTATGAAAATGAAGCGAATTCTCCAAGGAATTAAATCCGAGAACAATCTTTTTCTACTTTTTGTACACATATTAACTACGACGTTGTTGCAATGTTGATGATAATACTGCACAGAGTAAACGAATAAAACTTGGCTGCACCAGTGATTTCAATCACCTTATCGCTTTTATACACTGCTATATTTAAAAAAAACATTTCTCGCGAATAATATATAATTCAGTATACGATAGTATTCATGTTACTCGAATAACGTAATTTCGTTGTACAACGAATGAAGAGTGACACTTAAAATTATTGTACACATTTTATCTTAAAGGAAAAAAAAACTTAAAGGAAAAAAATGACCAAATTTTTATATAAAGTAAATTATTGAATAGAAAATATAGTATCTCGAAGATAGAAAACATGTTTTACAACTTCTTCCTTAATATAATAAACTACTTATACTGTGATATAATGTAACATAATTTACGTTGTTATTGTTCACTCAAATTGTTATAATCAAAATAAAAATATAAAAATGTAAGAACTATATGAGACAATGTATGATGTCAATTAATTTTGCAAAACGCGCAATTTGTTCCACAATTTCCACAACAATATTTACCGCTCGTTACAAATCCGATAAGCGACTTTTGTTATTAACGATTACAGAATTTTCTTTAAAATAATCCACTTGATTAGAAAGTGTTTTATATAGCGATTCCATAAAACATAATTAAAACTTGTTTACTTTTATTGCTAATGTTTTTTTTATTATACATATATATGTATCATACATTTCACTGTTAAGAAAAGGATAAAATATGATTAAATTTAAGTACTCTTTTGTTTAAAGAATTATTATCTGGAGATACATATCAAGAAGATAGAAAATCATAAAGAAACCGGGCAGTTATTTGCACGAATAAGAACAATACGCGTTTATTACAACTGTATTTCGACAAATGAATAACAAACTCAAGAATCGATGGTTAGCTGAGTTTCAGGTAAAAGTACTTTCTCCCCAGGTTTGAAGGCAGGCATTCCAAGATAAGGACAACTAGCACATCTGAATGCATCTCCAAGATAACACTATATAAACAAATTAATAAAAAATCAAAATTTATATAATAACTAAAGTTTATATAATCGTTTCGTCAAATATGACATATCCATGATTTTCGAAAAAAACATATAAAACGTACATTTCCACAAGAAGATTTAACGGTGCTTTCCGATGCAGCTTTACCACTTAATTCATCCGCGAGTCCACATGAACAGTCCTTGCACGCTTTCCTCTTACCCGTTGTTGCACAAACTGAAAGCATTACATGTGTTTAGTTTATACAAGTTTGCAAATTCTCTTTATCTACTTTATTATATTTTGTTTTTAATATTACAGTAATTTCACCTTTTAAGGATGATGCAGCTGGCTTTACAAGATCTGACTCATCTAAAAGTTCATCTTCATCTATTAAATCTTCGTCTACCGGGTCATCTAATTTCCATACATTAGTTTGCTTTTTTGCAAATGAAATGGGAATACTCGAACCCACCTAAATTGTCACAAAAAACTATACACAAGGTCTCTATTATCTTTATTATGTATGAATAAGGAAAAAAAATTACCTCAAATGGTGGTTTACTCGCAGATACTTTGCAAACGTCTTTTATACTGTTATACACTTTTAGTAAAAAATAAAGGCCCTCCGGATCTCTCTCCAAGGTCTTCCGTTCTGTATCTTTTACTTTGAAGCCAGATAATTTTAATCTAGATATTCTTTCAGGATACGTAAGTATTGTATCTGATTTTCTATCTGCTGGCAGTGGTTCATAAATAACAAGCGAACCATCAGGTTTCAGAATTCTCAATGCTTCTATTAAGAAATCCTCATCCGTGCATGGTTGTTTAAAAATGGCAATGACAATATCAAAGATAGATGCATTGTGACTTTCTAAAATCGTATAAAATAAATTAATGTACTTTTCATCATGACCTACACAACATTGTTCTCCAAGTTATCTAATTTATCCTTGTTCACCAAATATTAAAGAAGGATAAAATGAGTGCTTTCCATTTGGTGACACAAGTTGACACAAGTATCATTCTATCTTTCTTTCACATTCAGTGACTAACAATTTAAGGATGTTCCTCGAAGAACTGTGTTATATGGGGATATATAAAAAGACTTTTATATATAAAAAGACAAGTAATCTATCCTTCAATACAATAAAAATCTCGGCAAATCAATCAAAATGTGTGCTCACCCTTCTTTATATCTAACAAACTCCCAGTTTGCAATTTACCGGAATCTCCAATACGTTGCATGATCGTAGCAATCAAATTTACCATGTCATTCAAAGCCACATCGTTTCCTGACACGAAAAAAACCTTGTTTCCCTTCTTGACGAAAGACATGTCACGATGGGGATTATTATTGGCAAACAATAATCCTCAAAAAACTTGCGAAAAATTCTGTGTCTTGTATCGAATATAATATAAACAAAACTAAGAATAGCTGATCTTCTGAAACGAGGCTTCCGTAAATATTCCTATACGAACGTAGCCTTTTAGGTCTGCACGTCTGCAGTTTGCATTTAAAGAGGTTATCTTCGTTTCCTTTGAGTGGTCGTCGTCGTCGTCTGCAGGATTGCCAACTTTTTGAGAGATTTTCCTACATGGCTGAAATCCTACCAAACCTGGCTACGTTTACACCGTGCGTTTAGTCCGCGACCTATACGATAG